GGTAACACTGGATGTTGTATGAAATGAAACAGACTGGTGATTATTGTCTGAGATATTGCAAAATTTAACGAACCACGGTCTGATTCTCAAGTAAAATAAAGAAGAATGATGTGATATTCTTATTCGAGACTGCAGTTTTGAGTGATTTCCTCTGTCTTGCTTTGAAATCAGGGTAGGAATTTTAATGGGAATAATTTTCAAAGCAGGGGAAAAATTCTACCGTTATTTCGATTCTATTCAACAATGCAGATAACATAATAATTACTTTCACTCCCATCACCAATAAAAACTGGCTGTGATATTAAACAAGTTGCAAGGAAAGGGGTTGCCGTAGCAAATACATATTTCGATAAGCAAGTAATTTTTATTATTATTATGTATTCAGTTTCACGCTTGACTAGAATATAAAAAAAAAGGAATTTTCAATTCCGAAATATATATGCAATTCCAAGTTACTGGCGAAAACATCTTGAATGAAAGCGTTGAAAAGAACAATGCAATGAGAAAATATCTTAATACGAAGCATCGTGAGAGAAAAGAAAACTAGGGGGAGAGAGGAACATCGCGGGTTTAAAACATCGTGGTATAAAACTTTGTTGCAGATAATAAAAACTTCGCAGTTTTAAAATATCGCTATAAAAATATCACGTTAAAAATAAAACACCTAAAAATTATCATATAACATCGCAGACATGCGTTATCTCATTAATATAAATTAATTTTAAAATTTTCGTTGACGTAGTTTCTTTAAATTCATATGTCTAAATTAAATTTTCATGACACCTGCTAGAATAACGACCCACAATTTACGAAACGCTGAATAACTGCAAAAATTTTTTCAACTACAAGAATACAGTTTTCGTTCTTAGTGAATCATTTTTTGTATATGTAGGAATCAATACCACCTCCAACAATCAGTCTCATCTAGCTCAAATTCCTGCAATAAGACCGATGATTACTGGTAGTTCCACCTGCCTTTATGTCCAATCCCAGGCAAACGGGTTATCTGCAATGTACGTTTTCGTGGGTTTGCTCGTGTGTAAAGTGAATACGGGCTATTTCTTCTTAGAAAATCCAGTACAAAGACATCCCTCTTCTAAGGTACATAACGCACGTGGCTTTGCCATATTCAAATAACCTGATATAAACTGTCTATGCAATAGAGCCCATTTAGGCAGTCATAGTTCCTCTCTAAATCAGGGATTATTCTGCACTTGTGAACAAAACTGACTCCCATTTCTCAGCATCTCTTCCATGTCCAGTCTTCACTTTCTTCGAGCTCTGCATTGATTATTTATTGACACAGAACATTAATAGTAACCACTATCTCATTTTAAAAGTCGAATGGGTTGTTCGAGGAGCCAATTCTTATTAAAAAACTGATTGATCTTATTTACTCAGAAAACTAAGAAAATTTGGAAAAGTGAACCGATATGCTTGTTTAGCCACCAGAAATTCAGGACCAACTATTTTTTAATTCAGGAACAACTATAATAGTTTTCTACAGCGTTAGCCCTTCAGTTCACCGTTGGGTTTATTAAGAGTCTTCCATAAGAATGATATATTACAAAATGAAATAAAATAAAAGTTATTTTAGATACAAACAATCTTTATACATTTTAATAATTTAAAAAAAAAATTTATGACATTATATTTTGAATGAAACATCACTTAAATGTCCTCCTCGAACTTAATGCACACGAGCGAATTGCTATGGCTGTATAAAATAACTCGAGCTGAATGTTTCGCATTCAGCATTCGATGATTGTTCATAAGGCCTCTAATGTTCGTGTTGGTTCGCATAACCATTGATTTTAAATTAACCTGCAAAAAGTAAAACGTTATATCACAAGTTCTGGGGACAAGCTGTCTTGGTATCATTTATGGTTAGAACTAGGGTGCTGCACTAAGGACAGACACAGCCCCTTCACCTAACAGAATGGCTGCTCTATGAAATGGGCTTCATCAGTTCCAAAGAACAAAAAAGGCAACCATCGGGCCAGCTATGTCCCTAACTAAACACAACTATAAAATTACAACTTAATTCATTAACATAAACTCCTAAAAACCAAGCCATGTGACCCGAGTATCTAAAATTTTTAATCTAAAAAAACAAAGAAAACTAAAAATATACGACCCGAAAATATTTCTCATATTTAACCCCTGGTTTAAGGAAAAAAAGGAAATACGAATCCCTCCATCTGTCCCTCTTAATCATAACCGAATGTATTCCAAAAACTAACAAAACAGAACCGTGGTCCCATTTCATTATACCATGCACCATTATTCAGGCAGCGATGAAGATCATCAAAGGAAACCAGCTGGCTGTTCAGAACAGGCAATAACCACCGGTAGACGGACCATCCTTTTGGAACTGAGATCTAATAACGAGTTTTTTAACCGCAACAACTTTTAATATACGCTGTTGGAACTGGAATTACCGCAACCGTTGGGACCACACCTGCCCACTAATTGATCCTCGTTGAAGGATTTAAAGCGATACTCTTCCAACTTACGGGGTCTCAGAAAAGTCTCCTCTTGTTGTTTTTCGTCACTACCTCTCCGTTTTGAGAGTGGGTAATTTGCTCACCTGCTACCTTTCTTGGATGTTCCAGCTGATTCTTATGCTCCCTCTCCAAAACTGAATCCCGATTCTCCGTCAGGCGTTATGACCATGGTAGGCGCGTGAAATCGTCTCATGGGTAAGTCGATACTTGTGAAGAAAACTTCTTCTTGCGCAGATAAATAGGAGAAACTGAATATGTCTTCTAAAGCAGCATTGTACTACTCACTGTATTTCCTTTTTCCTGGTAATAAGGTCCAGTAATTAACCATATCTTCCGCTTTCAATTAACTGCTCTGCTTCAATCAATAACAGTTCCTTTTAATTCGCAATGGAAAAGAACAAGAATGCATAAAAATTCGTTTCATTTACCACTTGAAAAATAAATTTCAAACTGTTACCTCAGAATTTCGAGAAGTGAACATACTTTATTAGATAATAATTTTCCAATAACAATACAATTTTCGACAAAATACTTTAAGGTTTTAAATGGTGAAAAATTTCTCTTTTCCGAAACTAACCCATAAATTCTCTCAAACCTCTTTAATTTCTCATGGGCACTGAAAACAGTCAAAGAATTACCTTGTAGACAGAGATTTAGTTCATTTATCTTTGAGAATACATCTGAAAGATATGCCATGATATACTTCACAATTTCATACTTGCACATGTAGCAAGCATGAAATTATGTAAAATCTTGGAATTTCGTTAAAAAATAACAAGAAATTTTTGCAAATCTAGGAAGGCAGGTTTCGAGGACTCTTTGTGGTCCATTGACCGCAATTTGAGAAACGCTGGCTTACATGATTGATAATGTATGTTTTAAATAATTTCTCTTGAAATAGCGCGCCTGTCAGCAGCTTAGTGACCCAAAATTGAAATTTAAAATTTTGCCTTCATATTGGTAAATATTAGAAAAATTAAGACCAAAGAAAAGTCTCATAGTTTCTTCTGAATAGGAACAGTGATATTTTGGAACACAAAGCAAAAGTCAAATATGAACTGCAATATAAATTCATCACTTTTACTGCATAAAATAGTAGAAATTTCAAACCTTGTTCGAAGAGAGCTTTTAGTGTCTCTGTAGGTATTGCATAATCTGTTGCTTTCATTGGTCATTATCACTATGGGCAAAAGTTTGCCATCGATTTTTGAACTATACCTTGATAAGCTACCGAACTCAAATTTTGCACACATTTTTACCTTTATTTTACTCTTTATCCAAATGTGATAAATAGTTACATTTTTACTCTTGTTATGTCCTTAAAATGCACTGTTTCAATTTTTAAGTGATTATACGTAATGTAAATTCCTACATAAGATAATCACGAATTACTAAATGGAACGAATGCATAATCTTCTAAATAGCTGTCATTGCTGGGGATTCCTTTCATATTTATACTTTTTATGTTTAGAAATATGTATTTTGCAAAATCAGTCTACATCAAATTTTTTACCTATCATAATCAGTCATCAAGTCGCTAAAGATCGTTTACTTTAGCTTAAAACGCAGTTTTAGTTTAATGTACAAAGAATTTACAGAATAATTAATGTAAGAATTTGAAATCAGGTCTATATTAAATATGAAATGCTTAAAATTAGAAATGTTCTAAAGATATTTTATGTCGTAATTACGATTACAATAAAATAATGTAATAATGTATTAAATTCCTAAAAGATCTTTGCAAATATCATCAATTTGCATTACTAAAAAATATAAATTTCAAAAAACCTGTTTTTAGTTAAAGCAATTATAATTGGATTTATTTCCTAAAACCCATTAAATATTTAGTTAATTTTTTTGTTAAAATATTATTGTTTTTACCTGAGCAATAAAATCAAAGGTAAGTAAACCTTATCAATTTTGACACTCAACACCAATAATTTATTTTTGCACCGAAATAGAAATAAATTTATTTATTAAATTACAGATTGCTGATTATAACCCATAAACTTCTGTTATTTTATCGCAGTTTTTCATATAATATATGTATTAGCTTTTGTTCAGAACTTAAATTACGAAAACATTAGAATAAAAAATTTGCATTTTGCAAATTCTATGTGTTAATTTTTAAATTAGGTAATTCAAAAACTGCATTACATTTTTAGTATAATGATGATTTGATTTGGTTTATTTAATTACCCAAAGCACACGAGGGCTACCTGCCTATAGATACACAAAAATAATGATTAACAACTAAAACATTTCAACCAGTAATTAGAATGAATAATATTTTGATAAATCAGCGCGATTGTATAAGAAATTAATTTTAACCCTGCTAAACAATATTATTCGATTAGAAAACGATAACCACCTGGAAAATGTTTAGAAAATAATCACATTTTTTTAAAAAAACTTTTACTAGATATTAATTTTTAGAAGATTTTTAAAAAGCAATTAAAAGGAGACTTCAATAAAATAATCCTTTTCACTCACCAGTGAAGCGTCAAACAAATCAAGAAGACTACAGCTAATCTACCCATGTCTATTCAGAGGACGTTTCTGTAATCGTAACTCCAACCACTCAAAACGAGACACGCGCGTTTTGGTAAAAGAACACCGAGAAAGAACGGCTTGGTAAAAAAATCAACACTTATGAGAGAGAAGTTCGTTCAGGTCCACTACTTTTATAGGTGGATCTGTGACGTCACTCATTGGAGGTTTTCTGGTGTTGGTATGTCATCGTGTACAACAGCAATGACAGCTTGAGGTTCGTTCGCTCTTTATATATTGTTTGTTGGAATTCACGCAGAGAAATAGTGGTTTCATTAAGTAGAGAAGATATAGAATCTGGAGTTGGGTCGTACCGGCGGTGGATTAAGGGAACTAACAGGTTTTGGATTAAACATGCTGTGTTAATCCCTGCTTCCTGCGTGCTGTCTTCTCACTGTCAAACACTCTCTGTCATCGAAAGTGAGCGGAAATTATTGAAACTGATTAGATTAAATTATAACCCGGAAGATATATCGCCCATTTTTTCATGATTAAAATTTTATTTTAATGTAATTTTTTTTATTTTTAATCTGGTTTCATTTTGAATTACAGGTATTCATTTTATAATACAGTTTTCTGCAACACAGTTTTCCTCTTATACAATTAGGAATTGAGGAAACCTTAGTACAGCACGGCATCACGGTTTCACCCTAGTACGTAAATGAATATGCATAAAACCTCTTATAACACTTTACGTATTCACATATTTCGATAACACGATTTATATTCTAAACATTTACAAAATTAGGTTACTATATTCCATCATGTGGAATAACAATAACAACCTATATTTATTCATACAACCAAAAATAAAATAAATTTCAGAATTACCCACACTCTCAACACATCAAAATTCTTTTGAAATTGAGTCTTGCCCATCCATCACTTACATAACAGGTATCATACGCTCCAAGTGTTCATTTGGCATACTGTATATACTCACAATTACATAGCTTACAAATTATGTAATTATGATTTTTGGAAGATATTATTTTAAAAAATTTGTTTATTTCTTCTAATTTGATTTGTCTTTTTTTACGAGCAATTATCGCCAGATTATATTGTCCCAGACTATGCTTGAAAATAAGAAAACTACTTTTAGAAGATAATTAATTTTTTCGGTGATTAAAATTCAAATTCTGAATAGTTTGTTAAAAAGAAAAAAAACGCATCTGACATTTAAAGTAAGTTCTAAGTTATTCAGGCCAGTGAGAACTAAAAAAAAAAAAAAAAATCTGCAGGTTAAGTTTAATTATTCCAAGGGGTTTCTTTTTTTGTGTGTTACCTTTATTATGAAACATGTCTTCGAATTTAAACCATAAAGTCAGTTCAAGAGCAATATCCAAAAAAATTTTGAATGGGCATTCTTTGCCTTTCCGATACACAGTCTCCGCGCTGGAGATAAAAGGTTTTTTTGACAATGTCGCATCCGCTTGAATCCCGAATGTCAGATAAATTAATTAAAGTTTAAAAAATGAAATTGATATAAAAAATCCAAATTCCAATTGGACTCAGCGGCATCTTCGCAGTAGGATAAAAATTCAAAATTGGAGGCTCGGTACGTTTTTCTACAGTGCGAGAAACCACAAATTAAGCAGTTCTATATTTCTTCTTCAAATAATACAGGGCGATAATACTTGGTGGCAACAGTTTAAAAAGAGAAACGGACATTCAGGGTGATTCGACGAAAAATCACAAAACGAAAACAATAGTCTCTTAGGGCTATTGTTTTCTTTTGCTGCTTTGGACTAAAAAAATATGTCCTTCAAAGTTTTTGAAGAGATTCTTCTATTTTGTACTGATTATTAATCTTATATAATACGCTTTCACTCCTCATGGTACTTCTAGGAACTTATCTATCGTGTTGCGAAAGGGATATACCTATATTTCTCTTAAACTGTCTAGAAAGAAATTGCTTTTATAATTTCTTGGGGAACAGGGGGGGGGAATTTGAATTTTGATTAGTACTGTAATATATTATATGGTCTACTTAAACAGCTGAATATTTACAGCCAAAATGAATTAAATGGTTAAACTTTCAACTAAATAATTTTAAAAACATTGTCTGACTTCAATACGTATACAAAGAGGAAAAAACATAGATTTAAAGCCCTTATGTAAAAATACTAAGATTAAAATTTGGAACGACAACTTTTACTTAAAAACCAGTCCAATTCTATTTTCAACAAAAAGAAATCACTTACATATCCCCGCCAAGAAATGAAAACATCAAAAATGGATTTCTAGTACGAAATTTAAAAACTCGATCTACAGATGGTAATGTCAAAATTTTTCAATGTTGGCTTTTCAATTTTTAAAATATGATTGCAATTTTGTGATTTAAAATTTAAATTTATATCATAAACCTAAGAATGCATTTACTGAACTGTTAGCATCAGTGAACAGCTTTTAAATGAGCATAAAAGAACTAATTATATTTCAAATATTATTTAGAAAATTTTAAGCTAGCTTATCTTTGTTAAAAGTCTGCAAATATTGTGAAATGATTGTCATTCGCATTAAGGCACTTTTCTGTAGCCAATTTAAATTAGTAGCCGCAGTGTGTCAAGCTACGAACCCGTATATGCTACGAAAGAGTATGACACTATATCGAACATTACTATGACATGATTTAAAATCTTGACGGTGTTAATTCAAACGACTTTATGTTTTGATCAGATCCTAAAATCCAACATTAGTTATATTGAATATTATATTAAAAAGCCTTTGTAACGGTAAAAATCAAATGCAGTTAAAAAAATATGAAAGGCCTTCAGATTGGTTTTGTTTAATTTCTTCAAATATAATACAGTGCGATAAAAATTTTGGCAACAATTTGAAAAGGGAAATGAACAGTTATATTGAATCGACAAAAAATGCCATTTTGAGACTACGTTTGAAACCCCTTTGGGCTGACGCTTCTTCGGGCTAAAAAAAAAAAAAAAAAAAGAATTTTTATACAATAAGCTCTTAATAAAATGTATATGATAATTAAGGCATAAAAGAAGAAGAAGAATTTATCGTATAGTTTAATGGCAATAACAGATTAAATTATTCTAATTACAAAAATCAATTACAATTTGACATAGCGAATAACAAAGGTGCGAAATGCCTATGATAAATCTTAAAAAATAGTAGCTTATAAATTTATATATTTGACAATGCAATTAAATGATGGAAAACTTAAAAAAATAATGGCTTATGCATATGAAAATGCAATTCAATAAAAAATTAAAAAATATAACGCATTATACATTGGATATGCAATTAAATTAAAAAATTTCGTTTAGTGCATTAATTATCACAATTTATGCGCATTAATTATCATATTCATTTTTAATAAAAGGTTATTGTATAATAAACTTTTTAATTGAGTTTGATGTTCTGTTTTTCATTCTCAATCACACGTTATCAATGATGAAATTTTTTGTCACTATTAAAACACAAGCAGTAAATTATAAGAAAATTACGTAGTAAAGAAAAATAACTGAAAGTCATTTCAGTGAAGGAAGAAATCGTTTTGAATATTCAGTTTCGGAAATTGCATGTAATGACAATGTTACAACGAATATTTTACTTGAAGCTGAAACGAAAAAACGAGTACCGTAAGTTCATCATTAAGTGCACCAATGTAGCATACTCAAGAAAAAAAATTTCGCTAGAAAATTGTTTGCTTTAGACTGCAACACATGTTTAAGAAAATGGATAAAATCGCTTAATTAATATTATTTTATAGTTCTTGTTTCAAAAGAGAGCAAAAAGTCTGTTTTATGGTTTGTGAATATTTTAAAACTGCATCCGATACGTTTTTAGATATCGAAATTGAAAAATCATAAACGGCAAATAATCTAAAAATTTGGCAGTTTTCAAAAATTCACCAAAATTTAAAATAAAGTTACTATTTTCGTAGAAGTTTAATTAAATAGATTTGTTTCTGCTCTATTCGATGGTACAAACAGTAAAATTCTGATATGCTTAGATTCGTTAGATAAACGATGACGCGTGCGAAAATTTGTTTAAACATTAAATAAAAAAAGATAAACAGAATTTTGAAAAATCCTCTACCACACTGTATTATCATCGACAAACAATGTATGTACAAAATGTGAACTCGATAGCTTATCGGAAAGTAGGTTAAAAATCGATGGCAAAATTTCACTTGCCGTGAAGCACCATGAGTGAACTAAATACTCTCGTATTTTTCCTTCTCATATTCGTATTTCTCCTTAGTATTTTAACACAACGTTCAGGAAGTTTGTTTTTAATATTCACGTAATTTTCCCTTCCTTGAGACATTCAGAAACAGAGCTTTCCTCAGTTTCCAAATGGATTCATCCACATAGAGATTGTTTTCCTCTTACTAACTGATTTGCACTTACGTCTGGATGCGTGAGCTCTGATTGATGAAGCAATTATAATGGGCAGCTTTCAAGAAAACGAAGCTATCTAATACTCTTGATGGTGCAGAAATTGATTGCACGTGGAAAAACAGACCAACGGTGATTAAGACGATGGTAAGCCTGACGGTGACGACGACTTGCAAATTGTATCAGACTGTACAGATAGCAGTTCCAGCAACCTGGAATGCTTGACGACTAGCAAGAAGCAGTGGATACCAATAGGAAGCAGCAAGATTCAAGATCTGAGTAAGTAGAAATAAAAATGTCTTTTTAGATAGTTTGATGTTAATATTATTATGTATTCTTACTGACATGTAGGAGTCTTTTAAATAGATTATATTGGGACAGTTACCGATAGTTTTTACATCAGTACTTTTTTATTTGTTAAATTTGTGGGTACCGACGTCAGGTAGCATTTCTGACTCCAAATATAAATGATCAGAACATTTGCGAGGTTGCGTAATATTTCCGAATAATAAATATGTTTTGAGTTCAAAATATATTTATTACAATTATGAGAAGCTCTTTACACACACATACACACACACATATATATATAATTCATGAGTAGTCTAGAATAATTACTGTAGTGAAGTATAGTCCTCTTGACGTGAGGAGCCTGCTAACGATGGTCTCTCTAGTCGAGAGTTCAAGAGCATTCTAGCTTGTTATCCCATTCGTATTGTATATTTTCTGATTCCTTATATCTGAAACGATACTAGAGGAAAAACAAGATCTTTGGCTCGTCAGCCCTCCTGAAATCGAGAGGCTTTGACTACAGACACAGTTCAGA